AATCAAAATTACCGTGTAAAATACGAGTAATAACATAATACAGCTCAAAAAATAAAGTTTTCCTAATCGAAAATATTGCATTTATTATATTATATTGACACCGAATTCCCTTTCTTCAGACATCCCACTATAATCCGAACTTTATGACGCTTGAAAGTATATAAAACGTGGGCAATTCCATAAACTTATTTGAAGAATATAAAAATGCCTTTTCAAAACGACCGATGTGCTCTTTTTGTTTGCCACGAATACAATATTATGATCAAGTTAAGATACCAATATGATATTCCACCATATTGAATATAATATATTTTATTGTAACGATGCCGACGAAACAAAAAAGGGGAACGATCAGCGAGCATCCCCTAACGGCGTTTTTTCAATTTGCTTAAACACGCATGATATGCATAAAGTAGCTGTGCGGAAAACAGCGAGGGTGCTAACCCTCCTCCCACCCCTCCGGTCCCATCGGGGTCGACCTCCCGCGCAATGCACTGATTTGGTTTTTTTTTTTTAGCATCCACGTCCATCCCTTTTGAAAACTACCCTCAAGTTTGCTGATTCGATAGACCATTCGTCATCGCCGGTAAGGGGCAAACCGACTTGTCAGCACCATGTTCTTTACCCCCACACACACACATACCCTTTTCACTCTCTTTCTCTCGCACGCCGCCGCCGCCGCCGCCACTACCGCGGCAGATGTTTTGCCGGCCGAGGGTTAAATATATAAGCGGCGTCGATAGGGCCGACGATAATAACATGGCCGAGGCATGGACACCGCACCCCCTCCCCCCGCCGCATGACAGCCCTACAACACAGCAGCTTATAAGCCGTTGTAATATTATTATAATAATATGAAAAATGTAGCACCGTTCGTACAAGTAGGTAATAATAATAATAATAATAATCTTATATTATGTATAATATACCTCTACACCCATGTTAAACGACCATTACCGTCAACCGCGAAGATGTTATCGACGGTCGTAGCTGTACACACACCGCACAGAGAAGCGTCATCAACGTTAATACTCGGTTACATGTTATTGTATGGGTATAGTTACAATTTACACACAGTTATTGTTATTGCGCGGCGGCAATACTTCTATCGAAGTAAAGTGGCTCTCATCCCCCCGTAGTAGCATATAATATTATCTATGTATATATTATACTATTTTGCCTGTACATGTAAGTGTACCGGCGGCGAAGAATTACAGCGACCGCGACACGTTAGATGCCGGCAGTCGGCCGTCGAGGCGTATCGGACAGCGATATCTAGACTTTAACCTCGAGCCTATTATAAAGCACATGCATATTATAATATTATATAGGTAAGGTGTGTACCGGAATCAATTGCCACCTTGTCACCTGTACTATACCAATATCGTTTACTGCTGCCCCAGCCGATAGTGTCCGGACGTCAATTAACGTTAACCCCTTTCAAGGAACCGCCGGCGATTACACAGCATCACCCGGTAGGCCCCTATTAATACAGATACGGTTTTCAATACCGTTAGAGTAGGTGCCGATTATTATACATAAGCACCAACTACATAGACAACTCTGATCTGTATAATATATAAAGTTTGGCAAAGATAATATTTCAAGCGTACGTACAGTTAGAACAAGAAAATCCCGACAGGGCTGCTAACAGGCGATAACACTGTAAATCCTAAATTAACAGCCACTTGTATGTGTCCTGCTTTATCGGTTTTGAGACAATATTTTATGTATTACATAACATGTAGGGATACATATTATATGTATTATACTTCTCAGCAAAAAACTTGTAATCTCTATTTTTTTAAATAGCGTTATGGTATATATAAACATAGGGAAGACGCCCTGCCAACTCACCGAAGGGTATGCAAATAAAAAACCACTTTTAAAGTATTATTATGAGGAATATAAAATCTTATTTGATTTTTATATAATTAAATTTATTAAATTATATAGTATCTAATAGGTATTATTAAATATTCAAATTAACAGAAAATATGTTGATTGACGGGCGGAAAGGCGCGATAAAGCTTTTCACCGTATTTGATGGGAAAATATACGTTTCGTTTAAATAAACTGGCTGGGGGGTAAATATAACATATTATATTATATTGAAAGATTGATGACGTGTCGGATAAACGGGAGGGGCAAGATGGTAGGACGGGCATTTATATATATATATATAGGTACTAATAATAATATCATGTATTTATACCGCCGGGTTTTTTTTATATATATAATCAAAGTCTGTCGAGTTGTCCTGTACGAATAAATCATCCGGACGTCAATTAAATAAAACGCGGTCCCGGATTTATATTAATCGACAATGTTGATTTAGATCATGTTCAGTGTGTATTAAATTACAGGGTCGAAAATATTATCTATATTTTAGTGACCGCTGCATATTATACTGTGGGATTGTGATAAGTGAAATTAAAAATACCCAAGTATCAAAAGATAATGTAAAAATGTTTAAAAATGAATAAAGTATTATAAAAATAAGAATTTTATCTCTACCTTGAAGATGGCATAACGAATCGTTATAAAACGGATATTATAAAAATAACGAATTTCAAACCCAATATAGGTAGAAAATGTATAAGAACAAAATTTTAAACTGACATCACGTGCTAGCTAAGCGTGCGTTTTCGCTTCCGGTTATTATAATTACATAGTCCATATAATATAATTATATATATATATATATATATATATATATAATAGGTACTAGACTTGTGCTAATAGTAATAATGAAACTGAAAGAAACATGTCATTTTTTCCTTTAAATTTCTACAAACTATATAAATTATGTTTAATTTGTATGTTTATTTGGATTGTACCTGATATGCGGCTACTCAATTCGGCGTGCCGTACACAATACGAATGGAATACGTTCTAGAATATAATGTGAACTGGCACTTTTTTTTAACGAACAAAAAACAATTCACTGTCTGCAACATACTACTGCTGGGCAAACCGCAAAAAGAAATTATACCATTGGAAGTTCCTAACGACAAACGATAACATAAAAAACCCAAATAATTATTATCAATTAATTAATTATTTATACACAAAAAAACTTTTATACGTTTCGAATCATATTAAAGGGGCCCGGCATAATGAAATCATTATCAACCGGATAATTAGATAAACAAAAATTTGGTAATTTTACCATAAAAGTACTTAAGTTTATATACGGTGTCACTATATAATATTATTATTTGACCGCTTTTTAAATAAGATAAAAACAATTTTGAGTTGCAACAACTCAAAATTTTTTATTTTTTTTTTAGCCTTTTTCATAGTATTGTGCGACACATCTTGACGGATTAATTGTATACTTTTTTTTATGAACTTATTTAAATCCAGGCAACGTACTATACCTACAACTGATTAAATTAAATAAATTCACAGCGTTTAAAAATGTCTATACTCGCTTTCCTTGAAATAGCAGGAGGTGGTGAGTGTTTGCTAACAAGTGTTTGGCCCTTCTTATTTCGGATGCCGTTATTTTAAAGAATAGATATAATATTTCATAACAATATTGTTAATATTGAAAAAATATGTTTTCATCACGTTTTGGTAATAAACCAGAAGTATATATAAAATAATACGGACAGCGATCCAGATGGCCAAATAAGTAAGTAGGCAAGTACAAAATTGAGAAAGTCAAAACACGGTCAACATCATCCTCAGAGCGGTATATTTAAACGCTTGCCATATGATAGGTTTGCGCGCAACGTTTTTAATATCATTATTATACAAAAATATTCTATAGGAAATTATATTTTTTAATAATATTAAATGTTCCTGTCGCGTTGCGCCCTCGGGTAACAAGTTAAGATCGTTTCATAAGTGCAATATCTCAATTATTATTAGATCATACTGCGCTCGGCCGATGCGGCTTGCTTGTGCATATGGCGTTGTTGCATAGGAATTTAAAAAAAATAATAATTTTACCCGTTCAAGCCCTAGGCAATTTTTTTACCGCACAATATATTTTATAAATTAAAATATGTATCGTTGCACTACTATACCTACGTAGTATTAGGTTGTGAATTGAGCAGAAAAACGTTGGGAATATTGTACAGACATAATTCGCTATAGGATAAAAATGGAGATGGACAAAAAAAAATTGACAATTATATTGAAACCGTCGGGTGGTCCGAATAATCCGAAGACGGTGATGTTATTATCATTATTATTGTGATATATTTTCTCGAATAACGGACGTGTCACCAACACCGGTAGCCAACTATACTAGCATCCTGTGGCTCCTCTATATTTTTATACTCGCTGTGCAATATAGTTGTACGAAATAGGTAAGTGCACTCTCACACAAGCTACTCACGTGTCTCCATTATGGGTCTTCGGCCGCCGCGGGAAGTGCAGGTGTGTATTGCGAAATGGTTGATTTTTTTTTTTTTAATAACCGTGTAACAATCCCGGAGTGTACAATAGAGTCGTACAATTTTTTTATGTTCCCTTTGCCAGAATTAAATATAATATAAAAATTATATCGCACCTTTATCGACACCTCCCGCCGTTTTCCACCTAGCAGTAGCAATAATTGGTGAAAAAAAAGTAAATAGGTATAAGGAAAAAAAAATAACGACCTGAGATGATATATTAATAATAAACATTTTGTCTTCGTTGTAATATATATAGAAAGTACACACGGCCATTGGCTCTTCTTGGGCGCCTCCTAAGCGTCGCTAATCCCGTCAAATAAAAATATTACTGTACTCCATCTAATAACTAATAATTTACTCAAAATTATATAACTTGTGTATATGTGATTTTTGTTATTATGCTTTAAATGAAATAGTTTTAGACTGTTTTTTGTTACTGTTGTGTTAGAAACAACACCGTGGTTTCAAAAGAAAACAACACTCTTTCCAAGCCGTGCAACCGGTTGAAAACTACTGGTCTAAACGACCGATCGACGGCGGCGGTAGAATTATTTACCCACTAATTAACTTACTAAAATTAATGCTTACGGATATCACTGTGTACATCTGCAGCTGGTGCATCTACCAGTTCGATGATCTCTGTACAATAGTATCTACTAACATCCTGACTCACCTGAAACACAAAAAAATATAAACCCGATTAATAATCGAATCCATTTAGGCAAAACATAGAATATTAAAACACTGATTTATATATAATAAGGAAAACGGGATTTGTTTCTTTCAACATTGATTTGTTTAAGTCCACCTGTACAGCCATGTTGTTAATCGTTACTTTTGAGTGCACGCTATAAAATCGACATTAGATCCAAGTCTAATATTTCTCGGTCGGAACTACCATAGTTAGTGTACTTCAGTCGTTCCAAAATATAACCTACTGATAGCACAATAAGGACTAAGAATAATAGATTGTTGGGCTTTACTTTTTTGTCCACTGCACATTTTACGCCTACAGAGTTCAGATTCATCAACTGACAGTTTTATTTACATAAGTCAGAACAATGTACCTAATATCAAATACGCTGTTGGAGTCTAATGAAATCCAAAATAGATTGTATTTAAATTTCGTCGAAGCCTTTAGGGATTTTGACATCGCCCCGTGACTATCAAAACCGTAGTTGTTTGCACTTTGCTCTCGACATATTTTTTTTTTTTTTGCTTATTTTTTTCAAAAAAATATTTGCGACCGAAATATATATATATATATACAACAACAACAACAATAATAATATATCCCCTTCACGTTCCGGCTGCGCATAAAATAATATATGTATTATATTATGTATATACCTGCTGCCTTTTAAACACACACACATCGTATACATTATGATATTATATTGTTTTGGTTCACTGCACAATACAAAAATATATTCTAATGCTGTGCGTGTATATGTGTTTTTTTTCCAGCTTGTATACCATCACACACCGAGTATAGGTAGGTATAACATCAATGTATATAGTTTGTCCTAAAAAAAAAAAAAAAATATCGGATCGAGTAGACGGTGTGTGCAAACGAAACAGAAACTCGAAAAACGCGACTCGAATCCAAAATGAGATGTGCCGGAATATAATATCATGAATTGGCATTACGAGGAGTTGCATCTCGAAAATGACGTCATGGGTCTATAGAGTATATAGTGTGTGTGTCTGCGTGCATCCTTAAGACCTAACCGCCAAAGCTTCGATAACCATCTCCATTGAGATCCGCTGCCGGATAACACAATATCCGCCGCCGCAAGTATACCGACCTAAACCTGTTCGAGGTCGTGTGTGTGTTCAGTATAATAATACATAATATTATGTACAAGCTGAGCGTTACTATTTTTTTTTGTTGTTGTTTATTTCTTACCTCTTCCGCCTATACCGTCTTATAGCTGCTTAGCCGAACAATACTCGAGAGAAATTCGCTAATCCGCCCGCACAATTCTATATATTTTTTTTGTTTATAAAAAAAAATAAAAAGCAACCATTATTGTTGTGTTGATGGATGATCTATCGTCGAAAATATAAATAACAACAGTCAAAACTCGGACGGGCAACCGGACAACCCACTCGGCATACGAATAACCTACTAGTATTTTGATTTTAACTGCACTACAATAATGTTATTGACAAATGGTTGATATAGTGTGTGTGAATTTCGAATGGAAATATAAACGCTGAACCAAACATCATATTATGTTAAATAATTAATAACACGAATTTATTATAGTTATTACTATTATTACAAACTATAATATTATTAATACAATTTATTTTTGCTGTTGGTATAACATCATGTATTATATATTTTTATCAACAACTACGTTGATTAACATCCGATTTAAACATTTTTTATTTTAAGGCCCAGATTAAATTCAATGTGCTTTCAGTCTAAATTGTTTCGACTCTTGCTTGAGTTGTAATAATTTATATTATATCGATTCTTCACTGGATTTTCTTCGGCAACCAGTCGGACCACCGGCGGCCTATCCTACACCAAACGTATTAGACTATATATATATTTAGCTGCGCACCTGTCGTTCATTTTGTTGTAATATAATTACAACACAGCACATCGTATAGACAAATGCACACACACAGTCTTGAAAGTAATTATTAATATTAAAACGTCATTGGACGCGGGATGTACCCGCGTTTGGCGTTTTGAAAAAACAGTTTTTTTTTTGGGCGGTGGCGGCAAAATCCATCACACGTTATTCGATGTAGGCAGTCCCCCCAGTAAATCATCGGCCCAAGAGATGTGCCACGTCCAATTTTTGATTTATCGGATGCGGGACGACAGAGGAAATTGTTGAGCAACTCCGTTTGAGAAACCGTTTGTAACAATATAATATAAGTACACCAGCAGCAGCTCCGGAGAGGAGGGTAGAGACAAAACATTTTTTTTTTTTTGTATTATTCGACCTTGCGTTTGGACCATCATCATAATAATATAGTTCAGTTATACGTCGAACCAACGACAATAAACGCCCTGGGCCCCCGTGGACGCTTTACCCGTAGGCATATAGGCGCACATAATACCTATGATGGCTACACCACTGCATTTAGGTATATGGACTAGATCCAAATTCACCAGGTACATCGCTTATACAATGTGCAAACCGCGCCAATAGCAGTCACCCCCAATGTTCACGAATACTGCAGTCACTATATACAACCGGTTATTATTGTTTTATATTGTGTTTAGAACACATTAAGTGCAATTTATAATATATATATATAACATCTATAATTGTTGACTGATTTTTTTGAACCGAAGCTTGTTTTCTTTTTTTGAAAATCTGATTGAAATTTGAAAACTAATATAGTAACTGGTATTAAAACTGCGTTCTAATATTGTAAAAATATTACATCTAATTGTGTAAATACCATTCAAAGGACACAATAATTTATATATTACATACATTTTTAAAACGCAATTGCATTTTTTTTTTTTTAAAGAAAAAACGTCATTGAACAGTGTAAACAGACGTTAATAATGCAGAAGATAATCTTAACTTGAAAAGTATGCGCAATGTGTTGAAATATTTTATTTACATTAAAATTAACACTATCATATTGTACGTTGTTTACATGGAATTTTTTTGCAATGTAATCAATTTGTTGTCAGTTACTTGGCAACGAACACGTGTAGCTCTGACACGCAAATAGGTCATTAACTTTGTCAGATCTGTGGGAAATCTTGTTAAATCAATCGCGTTCGACTTTGAGCTTTTGCAAGCTGTTAAAAATCAGAAATATTATAAATACTCCGTAGAGTATACAGTGAAGTTGGAAATTAAATAACGACAACGGCTTACTGCGGCATAAGTAATTTATTTGCGCATTTACTTAAGAGAAACGGCTTTTGCACGTACTGCACGCGTCTACCGCGGATGTCAAAACCCGAAAAATATAATAATATATTAAAAAACTTTGGGAGGGCACGCAAAAAGTGTAGAGTTGTATTATGCGCTCACCAACTCTTAAGTGGTCCCGGATAGCGACTGGGTTGTTTGTAAACGCGGGGGCGCTCTATTCAGCTCTCTCTGTCTCTGTCGTTGACACTTTGTATAGTTGCCCCGAGGCGATAAATCTCTCCGTTCATATTGAACTGTTCTTCATCTCGAAAATCACACAAAGCCTTTGGACACACGTACCGGAGGGGAGGAGCTACAGTAAAACGTTCCCAAAAGGAATTATAACGCGCAGTGAGAACTTGGGATAGTCGCCGTTTAATTCTCTTCAGCTCAGCGTTAAAACGTTTCAACAAAAAAATATGTCTTTTTTTATTTTACACTAAAATCCGTTGTACCTTTGACAAATCGCTCGGACGATAACGACTACTATACCATAAGTAGTATAAACCAATATAAACTACATCAATGATATTATATTTTTAAATTATTCAATTAAAAAGTTGTTAACTTTTATTTGTTTAACTAGGTATATAAGTTTGAGTATATATTTGTATAATAATTGTCAATATATTTATAAATCATACGTTGTTGAGTAATCAAGCATTAATGGAACAAAAGTTTCAATAAAAATTCTTAAATATTTAAATATTTGTTTCAATATGTTAAGAAAATACTTTTAAAAAGTGTGCGATATAAATGTTTTGATTTATCTGTCAGAAAACGCTTTTAAAATATTAAAGAATATTGCAACAATTAATATTATAAAATGTCGTAGTTTTAAAACATATAATTTCGTTGTGTGGGATTATAATACAATTTGTTTTTGACAGACAACTTTAAATGTTTTAAATTAATAAAATTGTAAATTAATTATTTCCAAAACCTAACCGAATATATCTGGTTATGACGTCTTCGTATTATAAATTAGCTATTAGGTATGCCAGTGATGTGTATACATATACATAGAAACATCAAACGTGTATTTATTATATTATATTACATTAAATTCTAAAATATTGTAATAGCTATATTGTAATTATATTAATATACTGTTCGTTACGCACACAACATCGATATCGGCCCTCATCTATCTAATTTATATTTTGTAATTTTAAAATAATTATTTAATGTAGTAATTAAATATCTCGTAGTTGGCTTCCTTCTATACCAAAAGTGTAGTAAAAACGAGTTTAAAATTGTATAGGTGAACAAAGGTATAATTAGTTTACAACATTCGGTGTCTGGGTCTGGCTATCGAGTAAAATAATATACTAAAATATAAATATAATTATATTAGTACATTTTTTTTATCAATACAATGATATATACCTGCAGGGGCACGAGATAAACGAGTTAATATTAATATTATTTTTTATTTTTTTACGCCCACAGTGAAGAACCCTAATATCTTCTATTTTTGCGTCCAAGTCAATAGAAACAACTTGGCGTCTAAACAATACATATTATATTCTAAATATTATGAAAGCTAATTTAAAGGGTTTGTATAGGTCCATTTTGGCAAAAAAATTTCACTTGGCTAATTTTTGTTTAGAACAACAGCTATTGGTAACATTAATATTTTCACGAACCACACTTAAATGGATAATCATTTAATACAGTTCTGTAAATGAATAATTCATATTTTAAAATGTTTTAAAAATACACCAAATTGGTAGTGATCTATTATAACTGTATAATTAATGAAGATAAA